CCATTTCGGAAAAAAAAAACAATAAAAATAGGAATAACAGCAATGTGAGAAACTGGATAACATTCAGATGTCAAAGAAAAAATCAAAGAAAAAAAAAATCCCGTATCAAGCCCCGTGGAGGAGTCGAACTCTCTACTTTCAACGTAAGAACAACGGTACTTGCTACTGCACCATTTATCATCACACATTGTTATGTTTTTGTGATAAATGCAATTATAGCTTTTTATCAACTCTAAATAAAACAGGATGATAAAATCTAACAGTTGTTTTGGCCAAAAGCGATTTATGCAACTTGATGGACTGAAACATTTCTTTCCAGGTATCTTCCTCTGCTCCTTTGTTATACAACATTGTTTTTTTTTGCTAAAAGTTAATAAAATATAAATAATATTTGTTTTAATATAAATAATGATTAATTGATAACAATAAACATTAATAATAACGGCATGTATAAAATATAAAATTATATTCCAAAAAAATATTAATTTGATGAAGAGGAATGTTTCGGTTCATTAAATCATCATACACATTCCTATTCGGCACCACAACTGGACTTCATCACCTTCAACCATTATCCCATACTACTCTTATATAGGTCTTATTGCAGCTTATGCTTTGATTTATTACTATTTTCTCATCACGGTATGATAAACTGAGTGAAACTGAATATTTCCAAATCAGCACTTACCGCTTCATTAGTCGGCATAGTTCTCCAGGGAAACTGCAATGATCTATTAACAATATGTTGATAATATGGACGTAGTGTTCGGCGTACACTTTCAGATACTAGCTGTACCGGAGCTGGTACTACACCAGCAGAAGCACCACTACTTTCACGGGTCACCGTTGAGGGGGCAGGCAAACGTGCTGTTCGTGGCAGTCTCGGGATGTCGTTCGGCGACAAAATTACCACACGTAACGGAGGTGGCCTAAGTGCTCCACCTGAAATGTATTTTTAAACAATAAGCTTTTATCTAAGCTCCTAGCTGAAGATCAAATGCGGCATAGCACCCTGTATGGAGATGTCCAAAGTTTCCAGTGATTCATCCTGCTTCGATTTCCTTCACCCACTTCCACTGTATACTAAGTGTTGTAGAAATTTTAGAGATACAAACAATGATTTATCGCTAGATAGGAGACTGGAAGAGGACAGAGACCTGAAATTGTCTGTGTTAACATATGCAGTTTGTTTGGCGTTGCTGGACCACTACCGTGGAGAAAAACACAATCGAATTTTGGTAACGAAAAACTGGAAGTAGCGTCATTTAGATCTCCCAAATAAGCAAGCCCGTATGTGCCGTGACTTGGTGGCCTGTCTGTGTTTTATCCCTGAGCTCTAAGCAAAGGTGGCAGAACCGGTGCAAAATGGGGTGAGGATCATCAGTACAGTGTCCCATTTCGTCATTTTAAAAGGAAAATGTTGATTACCTGTTAAAAGGAACATGTTGAGAAAGATGAAGTTTTTGACAGATAAATCAAACTTGTTTAGCTCCAATCCCTCTCACCCTCTTTCAGAAAAGAAAAACACTCCCAGGAATACAAATACTCGGAAACGGTCCAATGAAAGAATTAAAAGAAACTATTCGTTGGCAAGGTTGTCGATCGTTCCCTCTTCTGCAGATTTTTTAAGAGAGATGATAATAGTTTGACTCACTGCTATAACCAAGTACCAAACTTTCACCAAAACGAAGAAACAAATTTTTGAGGAATTCACTCCACCAGTGGCGATTAAGGTAACGATTCTAGCCTGAGATTTGGTACCTAATGCAACCTATTACTACACCCAACCCGGCAATACATCAAATGCAAAACAAAATTTTATTCGGAAATTAATTCATTACTTGCTGCGCTTCTTCTTGATGACGAATTTCGGCGGCCGGAAATTATAGGACGTCCTCTTGCCAGCTAAAAATCTCCGCATATATTTTTTTAAATTGAAGGTTCTGGTAAAATACCAATAATATTAAGACCGCCTGGACAGTCGATGTAGGCAACCCATGCTACTGATGTACCATACGCCCGGGGTGCAGCTATTACAGGCCTTTCGATTATGAATTACATGCTTCCAGTTAGTATCACTGTTCATAGAGGGATCCAGAGGGTGGGGGCAAAAGGGCCTCCCCCCCCCCCCCCCCCCCCCCCCCCC